ATTTTATTTTATTTGTAGCTATTATAAACAGGACTTTCTTGATGTCTTTTTCAGATTGTTCACTGTTAGCATATAGAAACACTATTGATTGTCGGCTTTTATTTTAATTTTTATTTTTTTTCTCTCAGTGATCCTGAAGAGAATGCTACTGATTTTTGTATGTTGATTTAGTACCCTGCAACTTTACTGAATTTATTGGTTCTAAGTTTTTTGTGAAGTCTTTAGGTTTTTGCCAAATATACCATCATGTAATCTGCAAAGAAGAATAATTTGACTCCTTTCTTTCCAGTTTGGATGCCCTTTATTTCTTTCTCTTGTCTGATTGCTCCCACTAGGACTTCAAGTACTATGTTGAATAACAGTTGTGACAGTGGGCATCTTTGTCCTGCTCCAGATTTTAAGGCTGTTTTTCTCCATTCAGTATTCTAGTTGTGGGTCCGTCATATACGGCTTCTTATTATATTGAGGTATGTTCTTTGTATACTCGGTTTTTTTGAAGGTTTTTTTTTTTTATCATAAAGGGATGCTGAATTTTATAAAATGCATTTTCAGCATTATTAAAATGATCATATAGTTTTTGTCCTTCGTTCTGTTGATATGACGTATCACATTGATTGATTTGCATATGTTAAACTATCCTTGCATCTCTGGGATAAATCCCACTTGGTCATGATAAATTATCTTTTTGATGTGTTGTTGAATTTGGTTGCTAGTATTTTGTTGAGGATGTTTGCATGAATATTCATCAGGGATATTGACCTATAGTTTTCTTGCTGTGTCTTTGCCTGGTTTTGGTATCTGGGTAACACTGGCCTCATAGAATGAGTTTGAAAGTATTCCTTCCTCCTCTATTATTTTTTTCTTGAGGCCGAGTCTTCCTCTGTCACCCAGGCTGGAGTGCAGTGGTGTGATCTCAGTTCACTGCAACCTCTGCCTCCCTGGTTCAAGTGATTCTCCTGCCTCAGCCTCCTGAGTAGCTGGGATTACAGGCACATGCCACCACACCCGGCTAATTTTTGTATTTTTAGTAGAGACAGGGTTTCACCATGTTGGTCAGGCTGGTCTCGAACTCCTGACCTCATGATCTGCCCACCGCTGGGATTACAGGTGTGAGCCACCACACCTGGCCTCCTCCTCTTTTTTTCAGAATAATTTGAGTAGGATTGGTATTAGTTCTTTAAATGTTTGGCTTATGCCTGTAATCCTAGCACTTTGGGAGGCTAAGGTAGGTGGATTGCTTGAGCCCAGCAGTTTGAGACCAGCCTGGGCAACACTGCAAAACCGTGTCTCTATAAAAATTAGTTGGGCATGGTGGCATGCACCTGTGGTCTCAGCTACTCAGGAGCCTGAGGCAGGAGGATCACCTGAGTCTAGGAAGTCAAGGCTTCAATGAACCATGATTGCACAACTGCACTCCAGCCTGGGCGACAGAGTGAGACCGTCAAAAAAAAAAAAAAAAAAAAAAAGAGTGGACATTTTTTTAGTTTGAAAAGTCCTTTGGTAAGTTCAAGCCAAAGGCCGAAGGCTACTTAAAAACATTAGTCATGGAGTGGCAGAAAATAGTTTTGTTGTGAATTAGCAAACTGAATATTGATCATATAAATTCTTGCCAAACTCAACTATAAGAGTCAACAGGCCAAGGGGGAAAAGCATTCAGGGCACATACCAGTGCTGCAAGCATGTCATTCTCTGCTAAGCTGCTGAAACAACCAGTTGTATCCTGAAACCAGTTTTACCTAATAGTTACTGAAACAACTTGCTGTGATTTTAGGAATAGTTTTATTCATTGCCATCACTTACCGATCAGAACTTTCCAACTCCCAAAACCTTACTAGTGCCAATGAACTTTCTTGAAGAACCACATGTAACACTTCTCCTTTTCGTGAAACCTCCAATGTTCTCTGTTTTTCAGACATACCCAAACCACTCGGTCTGTGTGTATGCCCTGAATTACAAGTATTTCTTCCCAAATGTTTTAATTTCAGAAATTCATCTCTGACAAATCTGACTTTCTGACATTAGACACTTCCATGAGTCTACAGTCCCTTTTCTTCAGTTTTACAAACCAAAAAGTTCTGAAAACTCTTTTGTAAGGTAGGCACGAATCGGATATCAAGAAATAAGAGGCTATTTATTGGCCCGGCGCCGTGGCTCAAGCCTGTAATCCCAGCACTTTGGGAGGCCGAGACGGGTGGATCACGAGGTCAGGAGATCGAGACCATCCTGGCTAACACGGTGAAACCCCGTCTCTACTTAAAATACAAAAAACTAGCCCGGCGAGGTGGCGGGCACCAGTAGTCCCAGCTACTCCGGAGGCTGAGGCAGGAGAATGGCATAAACCCAGGAGGCGGAGCTTGCAGTGAGCTGAGATCCGGCCACTGCACTCCAGCCTGGGTGACACAGCGAGACTCCGTCTCAAAAAAAAAAAAAAAAAAAAGGCTATTTATTGGCTTTTTTGTTCTGTTTCAAGTATTCACTCATTTTGTTATAGGAATATTGCTGAGTTTGATCTCATGGTGCTGTTTCAGTTTCTACTGAGAACACTACATTATCTATGATACATTAATTATCTCAGCTTTTCACACAGATGAAATAACAGGCTCAAAGAGGCGCAGTGACTTGCCCAAGGTTGTTTCACATCTAGGGAAAATAAAGAGTAGAACTGAGGTCTTCTGCCCCCTTCAACTGTTTTTTTGTTGTTTTTTCCGCATTGCACTGTACTGCTTCCTCATGATACTACCTCTGAAGACCATCTTGATAAATTCTTCTGTGTGGAAGAGGTTAAGCAATGACATTCATCTTATTTGACATTTTCTTTTATTTGAGACAGGGTCTCACTGTGTCACCCAGGCTGGCATGTAGTGATGCCATCACGGATCACTGCAGCCTCAACCTCCTAGGCTCAAGCAATCCTCCCACCTCATCCTCTGGAGCAGCTAGGATTACAGGTGCATGACACTATGCCTGGATCATTAGAAATAAACTTTTTTGGTAGAAATGAGGTCTTAGTATGTTGTCCAGGCTGGTCATTCATAGGTATTTAAAGTGTGATAAATGGATGATTTAAGTCTGATAGAACCTTTACACATATTATACATTTAAGTATACACATGGAAGCTTCTAGAGTTGGTTATGTTTACATGGTGGAAAAAAAACCTTCAAAATAATTATTAGTTCGAGAAAAAGATGTCAATACATAATTTCTATGTCAACACACTGTTATATGGAAAAGAGCTAATCAAACGTGAGCTTCCGACAATTCCCTCTGCTTCATTCTTTCTGACTTTCAACAGATCATGGTTAACACCAAGGGCTCTGTGTCTGAGGTTTCACATGTTTAGGTCACCTATTTTAAACGGTCTCAACCCCACTCCACCACCACTGACCCATCCAATCATTTCCGCAGTTAAATCCAAAGTATTGTGTAAATAGCTTTCCCTTTCAAGGAGTCTAACTGGACTCAGGTTGAACCCCCTTGTGGCTCTCTCATGTTCCTTGATTTATTCATTTGAAATTGTCTTCCAGGAGAGATTGTGATATCCTAAGTGAGGACCTCATCCATTTTATTTGCTTCTCTTCTCTCTAACCTGCTACACCACCTGTTCATTGAAGGTACAGAATATTTTAAACTGACCATCACTTGCTCTAAATTCTGGAGATCTCAGCACAACTCAGAAATCCACACCCTAGAGGAGTATGTGTGGCTGTTAATGCCATCCTCACCACAAGAGGGAGTTCATTGCCTTTCTTTTTCTGCAAATCGATTCGAAGCAGTTTTCTTTTCTTTTTTTCTTTTGAGACGAAGTTTCGCTCTTGTTGCCCAGGCTGGAGCACAATGGCGTGATCTCGGCTCACTGCAACTTCCGCCACCCAGGTTCAAGCAATTCTCCTGCCTCAGCCTCCCGAGTAGCTGGGATTACAAGCACCCGCCACCACACCCGGCTAATTTTTGTATAATAGAGATGGGGTTTCACCATGTAGACCAGGCTGGTTTTGAACTTCTGACCTCAGTTGATCCACCCTCCTCGGCCTCCCAAAGTGCTGGGATTACAGGCGTGAGCCACCATGCCCAGGTGGTGGTGGTGGTTGTTTTTAATCTATGGGATAACACTTCATAAAAGTAACAGTGACACTATTCGGTTTGGTTCATTTATATGATTTGACTTTTCATAGGTTGATAAGGAAGCAGTAAAGTCTGTAAACCTAGATTGGATTTCCCTGATTCTGAAAAGTGCATTGAAAAAAATGTACATGTGGAAAGGAGTAACTGAGGTGACAGAAAGACTTGCTGAGGAGGTGACATGTGGGATGGGACCTGAAGTAATGTATTAGCATAAAAAGTCAGGTTAGAGGATTCAGGGAAGATGGCAGAATAAAAAGCATGAAGAATCTGTATCCCCAACTGGATTTGCATTAGCAGAATCCAACTGATGTAGCTATTTTGAAACTGTGGATACTATTAAAAGTTTGCAGCTTCCAGGGAAATTGGCTAATAAAATTTGGTTAATTTTGGTCAATTTCAACTCTTGAGTCAGCAGCCCGGACTCATTCCCCCTCCTCAGCTCCACGACAGGTAGCTATGTATAAGTTTTAACAGCAGTTTGCATGCAGTTCTGGGGAGGCCAGGGTGGACAAAAAGGACCTGTCTTCCAAATATTGGGGATCTGTACACTGCTTGATAATTGCTGCTTCTGATCACAGAGTTACAGACAAAGAAGTGGATGGTGATTGTTGCTGCTACATCTCTCTCCATTTTTCAAAGGCCCTTGCCCTCCATCTGAAGTGACTTCCAGGCTGGTGCCTTCTATTTTTCCCATAATGTTTTTATTCCTCTCCTTTTGAGAGCCACTGAAAATTAGGTTGTGCAAAAATAACCATACAGAGAAAATTAGAAAGTTACCACACATGCCCAGGAACAGGTGCAACTAAGAAAAGACCCGAGAAGAACTGAAGTTTACACCTCAGGCTGTTCCTCAGCCCACACGCACCTAACAATAGTGTTATTTTAAAACTATTTTATATATTTTCTTTTATTGATACATATTTTACATATATATAAGGTACACGTATTTGTTGCATGCATAGAATGTGTAATGGTCAAGTCAGGGTATTTGGGGTATCCATGATCTCTTGAGTATTTATCATTTCTATGTGTTGGTAACATTTCAAGTCCTCTCTTCCAACTACTTTGACATATGCAATATATTACTGCTAACTATAGTTCACTCTAGTTTGCTTTCAAACTCACTCCTTTGATGTAAATGGAAATTTGTACGTATTCACCAACTTCTCTTCATTTCCCCTTCTCAGCCTCTGATACCTGCTATTCTACTCCCTATCTCCATGAGATCAAGTTTTTCACCTCCCACATATAAGTGAGAACATGTGGCATTTGTCTTTCTATGCCTGGCTTATTTCACTTACCATAATGACCTCAAGCTCCATCCATGTTGTTAGCAATGGCATTTTATTCTTTTTTTATGGCCAAATAGTATTCCACTGTGTACATAAACCACATTTTCTTTATCCATGTGTCCACTGATGGATGCTTAGATTGATTCCATATCTTTGTTATTGTGAATAGTGCTGTGATAAATATGCAAGTGTGAATCTCTCTGATATATTGATTGTTTTTCCTGTGGATATACTGGGTTTGCTGGATCATATGGTGGTTCTATTTTTAGGTTTTTGAGAAATCTACATACTGTTTTCCACAGTGGTTGTACTAACTTACACTTTGACCAACAGTGAGTTTTCTTTTCTCCACATCCTCATCAGCATTTGTTGTTTTTTATCTTTTTTAGTAAAAACAGCTCTAAGTAGGGTATCTCATTGTGGTTTCAATTTGCATTTTCCTAACCATTAGTGATGTTGCACATATTTCCATATACTTTTTGGCCATTTGCATGTCTTCTTTTGAGAATTGTCTGTTCATGTCCTTTTCCCACTTTTAATGGGATTATTTATATTTTTTGCTGTTGAGATGTTTGAGTTCCTTGTATATTTGGATATTAGTCCCTTGTCACATAGTTTGCAAATATTTTATCATAATCAACAGGTTTTCTCTGCACTCATTGTTCCCTTTACTTTGCACAGCTACTTTTTAGTATAATATAGTCTCATTTGTCTATTTTTGTCTTTTTCGTCTGTGCTTTGAGGTACTAGCCATAAAATCTTTGCCTAAACCAATGTCCTGAAGTATTTTCAAAATGTTTTCTCCCAGTAGTTTTATAGATTCAGTAGGTACAACTGTTAAAGAATGTGATCTTCAGGTACAATCCTGTAATACAACAAAAGTTCCAGGTCACTTGAAGGATAACAAAATGCCTATAACCACTGGAAGGTTTGGTGACGTAAAGAAAAAGAAGGAACAGCTTCCTATAATATTTGTAGCTAAAGCAGCTGCAATTATAGAGATGGAACCTTCAACATTTAAAGATCTTACACTCGCAAACTCCACAGATCCTGACATTGTTGCTGACATGAACATGTACTTAGGACAATGACAGCTGTGTTTGTACTGAACATGTAGACTTGTTTCTTGTCATGATTCCCTAAACAATACAAAAGCAACTTATATAGAATTTACAATGCATTGTGTATTATAAGTAATCTAGAAATGATTTAAAATATACAGAAGAATGTGCCTAGGTTATATGCAAACATGCTGTTTAATATCAGGGACTTGAATATCTCTGAATATAGGTATTCCCGAGGGTGTTGGAATCAATTCACCTCAGAAACTAAGGAGGACTGTATTCAACAGAAACTGAAGCTACTTAATGCTTCACCACATTGTTTACATTCATAGTGGTTCTCTGCAATTTGAAATCTTTCATGTAACTGAAATGAATTAGGACTAGTAAATGCATTTCTACATTCCTTACAGTAGTAAGGTCCACTGCTAGTATGTCATAATATCCACCTTTGAAAGTTTGCTAGCGAAAGAAAGTCTTTTTCATATTCCTCATATTCATTATACATATTTTTTTAAAGTATGAGTTTGGTCATGTTTTCAAAAGGTACCGAAAAAAATGGAAGGTTTTAGTACATTTTTACAATCATACAACTTTTTTCAGTGTGAGTCCTTTTGTGTATTTGTAAGAAGCTGAAAGTACTTAAGGCTTTCCCACATGTTCAACACTCACAGGGGTTTTCTCTAGTGGGTCCCTTCATGCTTATGAAAGGAACTGATACAATGAAATGTTTCCCCACCTTCTTTACACTTATAGGGTTTCTCTACACTGTGGGTCCTTTCATGTTTATGAAAGGCACTGGGACAATGGAATGGTTTCCCACATTCCTTACATTTATACGGCTTCTCCCCAGTATGAACTCTTTCATGTATCCGTAAGTAACTTGAATGACTGAAGGCTTTCCCACATTCCTTGCATTCATAGGGTTTCTCTCCAGTGTGAGTTCTTTCATGTCTTTGCACTGAACTAGGATAATCGAAGCCTTTCCCACATATCTTACATTTATGAGGTCCATTTCCAGTATGCGTTATCATGTGTCTTCGAAAGCTTGAGAGATCAGATAATGCTTTCCCACATTGCTGACAACCATAGGGTTTCTCTCCAGTGTGGGTCCTTTCATGTAGTTGAATGTAACTGGAAGACCTGAAGCCTTTCCCACATAGTTTACACTTATAGGGTCTCTCCCCAGTGTGAATTCTTTCATGTCTTCGAAATGAACTGGGAGAATCAAAGCTTTTCCCACATATCTTACATTTATGAGGTCCGTCTCCAGTGTGCATTATCATGTGTCTCTGAAAGCTTTTCAGATGAGAAAGTGCTTTTCCACACTGCTTACATTCATAGGGCTTTTCTCCAGTGTGAGTCTTTTCATGTACTCGAATGTAATTGGAAGACCTGAAGGCTTTTCCACATTGTTTACATTTATAGGGTCTCTCCCCAGTGTGAATTCTTTCATGTATTTGAAGGTAAGTGCAACAAATGAAGGCTTTT